CAGCCTGGAGTGCAGTGGCCGGATCTCAGCTCACTGCAGGCTCCACCTCCCGGGTTCACGCCATTCTCCTGCCTCAGCCTCCTGAGTAGCTGGGACTGCAGGCGCCCGCCACCTCGCCCGGCTAGTTTTTTGTATTTTCTAGTAGAAACAGGGTTTCACTGTGTTAGCCAGGATGGTCTCGATCTCCTGACCTCGTGATCCGCCCGTCTCGGCCTCCCAAAGTGCTGGGACCACAGGCTGGAGCCACCACGCCTGGCCGGGTGCATTATTTAATAGGCTTTAAATCAAGGACCAAGAGTTGCCAGTGTGTGTGTAGGTTGCCAGCCTGCAGTGCTTGTGTCTAGAGGGCCCTTAGGGTTTGAGAAGGGGCACAGTAATGGAATTAGGCAGTTGTTTGTGACTTCAAATCCAGGGGAAACCAGACTGACTAAGTATTTTTATTTTAAACAATTGTATTATCATACGGACAGCTTTAAGTCGAAGTAAGATGCTGTCCTCTTGAATATGAGTACTCTTACATACAGGGCAGGACTGAGTATCTGAAGTTACGTTCTGTGCCAAGAGGAATCAGGTAAAGGAAAAAGGAAGAAAAACATGCGAGAGCTTTGTGTTCGGCTTCACTCTGTAGAGGTTGGCAGGCTGCAGCCCATAGGCCAAATGTGGCTTGCTGTCTGGTTTTGTAATAAAGTTTATCTTTGTTTTTTCCTTTTTGGCTAATTACTTGGAAGGAGATGGAGGGAAATGGCAGAATTCTTTGAGTGGCAGAGAGAAAGTTATGTCCCATGCTTTGGGTATTCTGTCTTTACATGAGCCGGAAGTTAGGATGGCCCTCAAAATAGGGAATGTAAAGTCTGGTTTAGATATTCTTTATGTGCTTGTCCTGCCGCCAACAATTAGAAATGTTTTGGAAAGTGAGTATTTATCCAAGCAGAGGAAATAAAGCATGTGAACTGAGCTTTAAGAAAATTCCTGGTTTATTTTTATAGGTTCTTCAGCCACTTCAGCAGCGATTCTTAAGAGTAATAAACCAAGAAAACTTCCAGCAGATGTGTCAGCAAGAGGAAGTCAAGCAGGAAATCACTGCCACACTGGAGGCCCTGTGTGGCATTGCTGAGGCTACCCAGATTGACAACGTAGCAATCCTGTTTAATTTTTTAATGGACTTCCTTACCAATTGCATTGGGTTGATGGAAGTTTACAAGAATACTCCAGAGACTGTCAATCTCATTATAGAAGTTTTTGTTGAAGTTGCACATAAACAGATATGCTATCTTGGAGAGGTAAGCACTTTCTCATTTTATCCCTTCAGGATTAAAACTCTTTAAAGCTGTAATAAAATAATATTAAGATCTTTACTTCAAATTTGATTAGTATTATCTTAAAGAATATTTTTATTCCTTCAAAAGATTTTCAAAAAGATTTTTAAAAAGAACTTATAATTCAGAGAAGGTCATGTTGAGTGAATATAAATCTTTTTTTTTAATATCTTCTAAAAAGAAACAGGATACATGTGCAGAACGTTCAGATTTGTTACATAGGTATATGTGTGCCCTGGTGGTTTGCTGCACCTGAATATAAATTTTTGTCCTAAAATTTTGTTAGAAAAGGGGTAAAATTTTAAAAATAATATATGCTTTTTAGAAATTATTATTGTTTTAATGTAGTTTAAAGCAAGAATTATTGCTACTCTTGGAATTCAGATATAAAGAAATATATCAGGGTTTGTTTCTCAAATAGATTCTACCAAGTAGCATAATTTGTGCATTTTTTTTTTTTTTTGCAGTCCAAAGCTATGAACTTATATGAAGCCTGCCTTACTTTGTTGCAAGTATATTCCAAGAATAATTTAGGGCGGCAAAGAATAGATGTTACAGCGGAAGAAGAGCAATACCAAGACC